CGGATGGCATAGTCATTTGCGTTTAGAAAATGACCATCCAAAAGCAGTTAATATGATGTTGATCCTATGTCTTTTCGAACAACTATCGAGTTTCAAAACTAATTTCCACAAAAGTGAGCTCTTCAGTTTTGGTAATGCCCAATAGGAGGAGAGTCAGTACAGGCAACAGGTGGGATCCCTTTCGTTTAAGTACCTCGTGATTCACATTCATCACCATAAGTTCACCGACAAGGAATGAAAAAATTATTGAAGACCGCTTCGCAAAAAAAAATCAGCAGCTGGAAGGGTAAGCTTTTGACTTACCTCTATCAACGATGTCCTTACTAGTCTTCCGATGTACATGCTATCCTTTTTGAGATAACTATAAAGGAGTGATGAAAAGGCTAGACTTTTATCAGTCTGAGTTCTTTTGTCAATGCAAGGAGCAGAAGCAACAATACATACTTGCTAAATGGGGCATTTTATGTACTCCTAAGGATCATGGTGGGTTGGGCATTGAAAACCTCAAAACTGAAAACAAGTCTTTACTCTACAAATGGTTGTATAAGCTACTTAATGAGGAAGGTGTTTGGCAGAGTTCTTGCATAAAAAATACCTAAACTCCAGAACGTTATTCCAAGTAGATGCTAAGCCTACTGATTCACCATTTTGGAAGGGCTTGATGAAGGTCAAGTCATCCTTTTTAAGATAGCTTCCTTTAAGGTTGGTGACGGGCAATCAATGATGTTTTGGGAAGATAACTGGTTGTGTGACACTCCATTAGCTCTATAATACCCGACCATGTATAATATTGTGTTCAGTAAATATGATTTAGTGGCTTCTGTTCTTGGAACTAGCCCTTTGAACATCCAATTTCGCAGGGCTTTACTACGAACTAAGTGGATCCATTTGGTTTGTAGGTTGATGTCGACCAATCTAACTTAGATGCCACAATCGTTCCGGTGGAAGTTAACCACTAATGGTGTATTCACTATGAAGACCATTTATGCGGATCTTATGGACAATAGACCTATTTTTCATAGAAAACATATTTAGAAAATGAAAATCCATTCCAAAATACAACCTTGCTAAACGTTTCCATGTGGTTTTTGCAGAGGCATGTAGTTCTTACAAAATATGAACTTGCTAAACATAATTGGCATGGTAGCAAAAAATGTTCTTTTGTGATCAGAAGGAGATAATCCATCATTTATTTCTGCCATGTCCATTTACTACCTTGATCTGGCACAAAGTTCATGTTGCATACAATTTAGCACCGTGAATGAGTATTCCAAATTCCTTTCGAAACTGGTTAGATGGTATTCCTCATAAGCTGAAGAAATCCATGTGGGTGACATTCTTTGGAAAATATGGAATTACCGGAATGATCATATACACCTAATTTCTTGTAGGTTATCTACAGGAAGACAACTTTAATCCATATGTGGTCATCACTGCAGCATGTGGATCTGCAGGGGCTTATGGCCTCTAGGTGCGACCGGCTGGAAACAATTGTGCAGGGTTTATAACCAGTTGGGTTGTGCGCCACTCATAGATTATGTGGATGAGCTATGTATAATCTTGAGTTGGACTGGGTGTGTCGTATTCTTTTTCTTTTCTTTTTTTCTTCTATGTCTGGAACTCCGTGACTTGAACTTGATTTATGTTTAATAATATGATTGTGTGCATCATTTGTTGTAGAGACTGGGGTAATCTCTTTTGAAAAAAAATCATATATTCTTATAGGAAATAAAGGTTAAAGGTGCACCTCTAGGAAAGCTAGCATGTCGGGATTGCCGCATGTTCTGCAATAAAGGGGTAATAGTATGTGTGTGTGAGAGAGAAACGCTCGCCGCCATCACACGCGTGGCTGCTCTCGCTACAAGTATTGTTAAGTATTCCCTCTGTAAGAAGATATAAGAGCATTTAGATCACCAATTAATGTTCTTATATCTCTTCACAAAGAGTAATTTTACAAAAGAAACCTAATGACACTGAATGTTTTCTTATATCCACATATTATATTGCTTAGAACTAGCTTCAAAGACACCAACCTAAAACTCGCAATCCGTTAAGACAGCTCGATCAATTGTGCATCTCGCCGCCTTCAACACCCGCCCTTGCATCACATACGTCTTCTCCTTGCCTTATTAGCCAATGAAGGCACAATTGCTGGCCAGCCACAAACGTAAAGTGAATGGTGTTGACAATGATTTTGTAGTATAAAACATCAATCACCTTATAGATCACAAGAAACCGCGTATCAATCACAAGAGTAGCAAAACTGGTACGTCTAATGAATCAGTCATGAGAAATTGAGCCTCGCTACTGGCTTTGCCCACCCATATTACTCTAATCTAACGCACACAAGTATCAGAGTTGGCGCCTCAGCTTCAACCTTTCACTCCGACGCCGCTCATGTGCGATGATCTTTATACCGCACACGTAGTGCGACACAGACTCAATGACGTTGCATGACTGGGCATCACGGACGTCGACTCGGATGCGTCCATATATGAGATGGCAGGGCTCAATGGCACTGCCATCGCCATTGCCGCCTCGGATGGGGTGGCCAGATGGGGGATGGTAGGCTTTAGACTAGCCACAATGGAAAGTAACATACACTAGTAACATACACATATCCCTAGACTATGTTACTACCTTCATAGTGGGTAGTAACTTAAGTGTGGTAACATGCAAAGATTTATTTATTAGGTTATAGACTCATATTGCATTGGGACATGTGATATTACAGTAACTAGCTAAGTTACTACAACTACCTCTCTCCTCATTAACTCATTGCCACATAAGCAAATTTGCTGAGTTGGACTCGATGTTACTGCTAAAGTTACTCCCACTGTGGCTAGTCTTAGTAGCACTGCATAACCGCGCATCGCCATAAAGGAGAAGGTAGGCCTCGATCCTCGGTGGGCCATCGACATGGCGGTTGCACGAGTAGACGGTGTCAGCACGAACATGATTGGATAGCCTGGTGGACAACAAAAGAGCATGCCCTAGCCCCTAGGGTCCCTCACAGACAAACAAGGCGCGCCCACCGATCCCTTGCTGCATCGGTAGGGTGATTCCTGCCTCCAGATCCACCCGGTACACCTCATAACCTTTCCGGAAAGTGTTGTTATTGTCACGCATGATCCGACACACAAGAACTAGTTCCCCGTCGTTGTCCACTAATTTCACGGTTTGATCATACCGCGCAGAACCCATATCACCCAATTCGGACGCCACTGCCAGCTGCGGGTTTGTGGACGCGGTCGTGTCCGCCCCCATGAGGGCTGTCTCGGTGAGGCAGTAGAAGCAGCCCGCGAATGGCAAGGTTGTAATGATGTGGCCGGTGTGCAACCGCGTCCACTGCTTATCGCTGGGCTTGGCGGTGAATAGCTAGTAAGGGTCCATGTGGAGGAATACGGTTGAGTCGTCGGCGAGGCCGGCAACCAACGCACAATCGCCACATAGAGTGTACTTGCCATTACGTCTTTGGGTGCTCCCAGTGTACTGCTGCCTGATCGCGGCCGGGAGGGTGGTCAGCTGCCGGGTGAGCGGGTTGAGGAGGCGGACGACGTAGGTGCGCTTGTCGCACAGCACGATGAGGCCGCCATCAGAGGTGGCCCTGAACACGTACTGGTAGCGGAGCTCCGGCAGGTTCACCCGGATGCGCTCCCCGGTCGAGATGTTCAGAAAGTCACGGCGCTTCCGGATGGCGCCGAGGGTCTGTGCTAGCATGATCCACCGCCGGGGGTGGAACCGGCGGTCCAGGCTGTCATGCGCGTGCGGGGACGCGGTGCATCGCCGCCATGTGCGGCACACCGCGCGGAAGCGGAGGTAGTCGGCAACGTCATCCGCGAGGACACGCTCGGCGATCAGGCCTGCCGGCCCGGCGATCAGGTCCGCCCAATCCCTCCTGCAAGCCGCGTATATAGCACGATCGAGTCCCATCAGCCATCAGGCGAGATGAGAGATGACATATTATATCTGTTGCAATCGATCGGGCCAGGGGAACGGGAACTCCACTTACCAGTTAGGGTCGATGGCGGTCCCGGCGATGCGTGCGCATTTTTCTTGCCGGCAACACGTTTCCACGGCTTTGTTAGGTAGTGCAGTGGTCGACGACATGTTCCGGCGAGGCTTGATCTGCGCCGCCGTGAGCTTCAGATCGGAGGATGGTTATGATCCGGCCTGCAACTAGGCGATGGGTGGTCCTTTTTATAGGCCTGGTGCGTGAACGAGTCCCTCACGAACCCTGATTCCGGAACCAGTACGAACTGGTATACTTTTACGGAAATGTTAACGCCCACACATGTGGGCGTTGATCATCTCGACCACACGCATCCATCACCGTTCAATACTATATGCACGAATCTTGGCACAATCTGGCCGACTTTCTATGCCACGTAGGACAAGGCGACCGTGTGATGTGTGACATAGTTCGCCCGCACGTCGGTTGCCCCCCGTGGTCAGCGGTTGCCACTCGGGGGCATGCGGTGGAACTGCTATGGGCCTGCACGCCATGCACCGACCGTGGTTGACGTCAAACACATCGCGCACTTCGCCCGCCTACCCCTCATGGTTCCATTTAGTCATCCCCACAGTTACTCGCACAACCCACTTCGCATTTCAGATGATTGGAGGAGAAGACGAGGGGAGAAGGCGACGGCGGAGACGGAAGAGTTGACGGAGTTCGCGGCCGTCGGTGGTGCTCGCCGGACCGGAGCGGCCTCGCCGGAGCGCCTACAGATTGAAGGTAATGCTCGCTCCCACTCTCACAATCCTTGCCTGTATTTTTCTCCCCTTCCCTCGGTGTTTGATGCTTCGCTCGAGATTCGTAGAGATTCAGGCGATTTGGCGATGCGCCGGCGTTGCCGCCGGCGGCGGAGTCCTATGCTTGCCGTTTTCGGTGGCACTGGGCAGTTTCGTCGCCGCCGCGGTGGCGGTCTCGCCAGTGTGGTTCTGCCTGTCCGGAGACACACACTAGTTGTGTCTTGGGATTGGGCCGTTGTTTTCCGGTCTGATAGTTGCGCATTGCTTCGAATTGGTATTTGCGATCAGTTCGGGGAGAATTTTGGGGATGAATTTCAAGTCATTACAGTTGCCATTGAACCCTAGATCTAGTTAGTTGTTTTTCAAAACTGCAGTATGAAGGCAAACGTGGTGGTTTGAGTAACTATCATGACTGTATGGCAACTAATTTCTTGAATGATTGTGATAGTTGCCACAAACATTCTTTTCCATGCGGCAACTAATTTCCTGAATGACTGTCATAGTTGCCACAAACATGCTTTTTCCATGTGGCAACTAATTTTTCCTGACTGATTGTGATAGTTGCCACACTGTAGGAATGGTAAAGTGCAGTAAATCGGTAGTCACTGTAGTTTCAGTAACCAATTGCACTGGATGGCAACTAATCTGCACATCAACTATGCATGTTGCCACCTGGATAGTATATTTTTGTGGCAATAGACTATGAACACATGGTGGTTGTTGCCATGTTGTAGACAGGATAATGTGGTAAATTGGCTGCATAACATGGCAACTAATTTGCACATCAACTGTGTCAGATGCCATATATATGCTTTCCATGTGGCAAGTTTTTGTCTGAACACAACATGTCTGTTGCCATGTTACAATCAGTATAATGTGGCAAATTCATTGTACGGAAGACGCAATTTTCGTGTTTCTGCCATGATGACTTGTGATATTTGAACACACTGTGGCAATTTTCAGGTTGTTCATTAGATGTTTTTCATCGCTTGTGATATCTGAACACACTTGTGATATCTGTGTTGCATTTTAACATGTCAATTTCAACCTAGCACATTTTTGCCATTGAAACACATGTCAAGTCATTTGTTGTATGAGGACAGGGTGTGAGCTGCCACATCTTAGGTTTTTGTAGTGGAGGATTTTGTGACTTTCTTTTCGTACTACCTTGTGCTAACATGGCAACTTCAACTTTTTTGTTTTTAAGTGCATTTATGATCTGTACATTTTTTTTAAATGTAACCAATGTGCTTAATTGCCACATTTATGTTTTCAACAATCATAGGGGGGTGCGTGCGTGTTCATGTGATATTTTTGCATTCACTATTTGACATTTTTCACTCGAGCCCATGCGGCAAGGACATTCTGTTAGGTGGCAACTGCTTACTTCCTGCATTTTCATTTCCACAATGACAATTTGGTTTGTTCTTACCTCAGCAGAATGGCTCGCGGCGATCATCAAAACAATGATGATGATTTCATGGATCCACCATAGCGGAATCGGGCAACTGGACGGAGAAAAGAGGGCGACGAGGTAACTGTCCACACACCCTCTTCCTCCTGCATATGTTATTGGTTGCCACCTCGAGCTTGCAGTCGTCTGTCATGAACTAAAATTTCATGACAGTGAAAACATGGCAACAACTGATCATTTGTCTGTTTTTTGCAGAAGAAGAAACGTACTCGCAACAGGGCCTCCCAGGAACGACTGACTTTATTAACTGACAGATTTATCGACGATCAGAGGAGTTGCTGCTGAGATGGGTATGCAGGCTATGATGAATGTCCGGTGCACGAATCTAGTCAACCCTGTATGTGACTGGCTTGGTGAAATTTACGACCCCGCCTCCAGGGAATTTGTGATTCCAGGACGTGGAAGACTGCCATTGAACGAGGAATCCGTGTTCTGCACTTTGGGTGTGCCTCGTGGACAAATTAAAGTCCCGTATGAGGTCAATAACAAGATCGAGGAAACGTTGTTCCCCTGTTTGTTTCCTGGGTTGGAATCCATGCCGAACACGTCTGTACTGACAGATTCGCTGCAGGCCATGAAAACCCATGGCAAGGTTTTTAAGATGAAACTACTCATGTACCTCATCTCAGCTGTTTTCGCGCCGACCACTTCTCTTCGCCCAAGCAACAAATGCTTCCCCATCCTGGTGAATGATCTATCTTTACTACATTATTTTTCCTTCAATTTTTTTGCTCCGATGTCATGTGCAAGCTAGTCACTGCCTGTGTTTTTTGATGTTTTTTCCATTTGATTTCTGATGCGGCAACTCGTTGTCCTGAATTTTGTGTGGTGCAGGCGAAACTGAAAGATGTGAAGAACATGAATTGGTGTAAGTTCATTGCCGACTTCCTGCATGATGCATTCTCAAGCAAGATGTACCAGAAGGGTTGTCGACTGCATTTAATGGTATTTTTTACCAGTCCTTTCTGTGAACACTCTTTTTAACACCTTTTATTCATGCATGGCAACGTGATCATAACAAGATGGCAACTGCCATAATGACAATATGGCAACTGCCATCATACTATGATGGCAACTGCCATCATGACAATATGGCAACTGTCATCACACTATGATGGCAACTAGCACATACAGATGGCAACTTGTTCTTTCTCTCTTTTTCATGCACTTCAACTTGATGATCGTAGGAACATATATATTATCCTGTTTTCTCGTAAAATACCATGAGCACAACTGATATTTCTTTCTTTTTAAAATTGATGTACATCAGCTCATGTACGTCGACTGTCTTGATATGTTCACCGTGGATTTCACTGGGACAGGAGGCCCACCGCCTACGCACAAATTTGCTGTTTCTGGGTGGACTATCGATGATGTCAAGGCTGTGCTTGCTGCAGACAGGATAACTGATACCAAATATGGAAAACTGCAGGTTAGTTCTGGTTTCTTTCTCTACACGGCATTCTTACAAATTTTTGCGGCATAACATATCGTCGTGTGGCAACCGTCTGTGGTTAACAAGAGATGACTACCTTTGTTAGTCATGGCTGTCTGAGTATGGTATCCATGTCTCACTCCACATGGCAACTCTGTCATTCGTGCTGAAACTTATATTCACGTCTTCTTTTTTTGTTTGTATTTTGCAACGCATGAACTGCTAGTCAGTGTTCATCATTCTCTCTCTTACATCCTTGCCATTTTTTTGGTTTTTTCCAGCTGATGGCCAAGCATGCTATAGACTACAGCGTGTTTGGGGGGCCTCAAAACTTTGGAAAGTGGATGGACGTGCACCCAGCTCCGACCTGCCCTACTGAGGTAATCAAAGACATATATCTATGGTTGCCTTGCATTATTTTTGATGTCGTGCTAGTTACTGTAATATGGTTGGCCACTGCTGCTTCTTGTTTCGTGCACAAGCGAGGGCACCTATTGAGCATCTAATTGGGCAGTTTGCATCCGGAATGACCGGCTTGCTCGGGAAGTTGGTTGAGGGGTGGACGTCCCTTAATGGCTCCGACAACGACGCGGTTGCGAGGCAGTTCACTACATTTGTCCCAGAACGGACACATCGGCCAACTGGTTGCCGTGGCCGGTATGACTACAACAGTTCCCAAGAGCTTGCTGATACACAAGATGAACTAGATGGAGACGCTGGTCTCAGCAAGGATAACGACGATGACATGGAGAATGTGTAACAGGACACCGATGATGATGAACATGTTGAAGTTCATGCACGAGATGTCCCTCCATCGGAGAAAGTCAAAGAACATACGGCTGCGAGAGGTGAGGGGCGGTTGCCATCAAAGAGGGGGAGGGCTCCAGAGAATGTTGCGCAGGGTTCTCCTTGCAAGAGGTCTATGACCGATCCTGTAGCTGCTAGGAGGAGGTTCGACTTTAATTTTAGTTTTTTGTTTTGTCTACATTTTTGGATCAGACGGATCACTTTTTGTATTTGTTTTTGCTAAGCGCGGCAACGAGTTTGCTGTCTGACAATTGCCACCTCTTGTTTCCTCCATCTTATACGTGCAGGGAGGCGACAGCTGGTGGACGAGCAGTTACGAAGAAACAGGCACCAACACCAACCCGTGTTTCTGCTCGGTTGAACAAAGGTGCCCCCATTGCTGGTGACACCCCTTCCACCAGGTCATCTCCTCGTACGACGACGTCCAACACCAGGGTTCCTGTCATGCTGCCAGACCTGGGAAAGCCAGTCAAGAAGTAGGTTTTCCTTGTGCTTTCATTGACGTAGTGCTATATTTTTTGATTTTTCAATGCATCCGTTCAGCTTGCCACATGGGCTTCTGTCATCGTCCCCACATGGGCAACTACTGTTTTTCAAATGATTTCCTTCCTTTTTTAACTGCATGGCAATTCCTGCTTG